CCCAAACTAGGGCTGAGAAAATCCAGCCACTCTAAACCAGCCTCTGCACATCACTCATAATCCTCCCTCACTCTCCAAAGCCCCTTAACTCACAGTTTCTCTAGATTGGTCACAGATTTTAAGTCTGTAACATTAAAAGAATATGAAGTTTTCAGGTTATGAAATCTTTAAAACATACAACACTGGTCACTTTAAGAAGCAATACACAGCATATAATTCCATTTATATTAATTTAAATATTTTATTTATAATTATACATTACTAAAATTGATGTCTTTATAAATTGACATTCTTTAAAGTGAAAAACTATTCCCTACTAAAAGTTATTGCTAATGTCTAGTTCTAATTAAAATATTTTGGTTTTATGATGACAGCTGCATCTATGACACAAGCAAATACTAACCCCTAAGAACACATATTTGTTTTACTTGCATATCTCATAAGTTATATAAGTCTTCCTAGAAACAATAAACTAATCTTGTGTAACTTGTTCGTTAGACTCCTATTGTGATTTTTGTTTTCTTAATCCCCATTACAGAATTACTGAAAGACAATCCCTATAAGGAAAAAAACTTTTCAGACCACACATGTGGCTAAAGGAAATGAAAATAGAAAAAATAGCATATTTCTATATAGAACAACAAACATAATTGTAAAAGATATACTGTGTGACTTCAGAGAAAATCTGTCTCTCTCCCTCTTTCTTTTCTTTAAACTGTTATCAGGCAGTCCTGAAATCTGATATGATCTTGATATATGGTGATAAAAATGTGGACTAAGGATAATGGCATTATAACAACATAATACAAATTGAATCAGAATCAACGGTTTTTTTCGACATTTAAATAGAGGAGGATACAGAAACTAAATCCTCAGTAAGCACTGAAAACTAGCAAATGAATTCCAACTATATTTTCAGAAATCTCTTACCCAGTTATCCCTATTTCATATCCTGTTCTTTCCTATAGTGCCATAACCACAAATGTACTTGGAAAATGAACACATCTAAGCTATGTTGTACCAGTGTAGAATAATGAGGTTCTATGGAAAACATTCTATCACCTGTTAAACAGCTTTTAACATTTGGGATACTGCAGTATTTATTAGTTACATAATTAGTTACAACTGTTGAAAGCACCCGATAGGAAGACAGGGAGTGCCTAAGCCCCAACTTAGTCATTACTGTAAGCATGAATTCACTTATAATGACACAGAAATGAGTGTTTCCCTCAATTAGGCTCTCTTTTCAGAAAACAAAAAGCCATCTATGAGCAGATAATTTACTAACTTATGGAATCTTTTACTGCTGCCTCCAATGTGAAAGAAACATAACAGATTTGCTTAAGGAACAAACACATCCACTAGTTTCTCTCCTGTCTAAGATGCAGCTGTGCATCATGTGAATACTGCATCTGTAATTACCCCAGAACAGATGGCAAAGGTTTAGTTTAAAGTGTATACATTACCACGGCATATGTTGCCAAGTGAATTCTCAGTCTAACAAGGGACTTTTCTCTCCAGTGGTCTGATCCAACAGTTCATACACAAAGCTCCCTATGAGATTTTTGGTCCATAGGGAATGAAAGACTGGATTTACAGTTTCAGCAATTTTTTATTTCCAAATGAAATATGTTAGAAGCTAATAGGCCAGACTTTCTTTCCAATATCAGGGAACTGCCTAGGTTTAAGTTTAAGTGCAATAAAAATCAAAGTTCTAAGTGGATAAATGATACACTTAATTATTTCAGTGCTTCTCTATTTCTTGGGTAAATCATAACCAAAGTCTTTGGTAAGGTTACCATAGAGTTGGCTACTGTTAGCAGAACATATTCCAAAACCCAGATTCCTGTAAAAATAAACACATCATCTAAAAGGTACAAAGAAAATACCGCTAGATAAAACAAAAATTACCAGTAGTTTGTTTTCTTTGATAACACACAGTAGTTTGGTCCATTGCCCAAATCGTTTCTTTCTAAGGAGGAAGGCACAGATTTTGGCATCCTTCACCAGATCCATAGATGCCTCCTCGGAAGGCCACTGATGTCTCATTTTCTTCCCCTTTCCATCCTCCTCTTCTTCATCATAGGATTCATATGAGCTGCTCATAGCATCTGAGTCATAATCTTTAAGAAAAGTGTAAAAGTGTCAAGTTAAAACATTTAGCCAGGAAGCGTACTCAAATAACTGAAAATCTCAACAGGGTTCATTTTAAGACTTTTGAAAGTCAGCCATGAACGAATTACTGTTTCAGTGCTTAGTAATATCAATACACTAAGTTAATTGAATAAGAGATGCTGTTCCATTATGAAACATACTGACATCTTGGGAATTTTAATTGAAAAAAATGAGCTGGGAATAAATAGCTACAATTTTAAGTAGCACTTTTATTAGTTTCAAAATATTATTTGGTAGATACTTGTACCTATTGCAATTCTTTTACAGAGAAACATCTTCATCTTGCACCATTGCATAATATAGGCACAGAAATGTCAATATTAGCAAAGCACATAAAGAAACAAACAATATGGCAAAGGTCACAGAAGTAAATTATGGGGTACTATCTACCCATCATAACATTTCACACAATCCTCAAATACAGCACTGCACTGATACAATTAACACTGAATAGACAATGTTGTTCCTTGAACTACGGATTCTGCTGGAGTTCAAGGTATTTTTCAAAAAAATGTTTTGTTACGTGCTAAGCCTAAACAGCTTCATCCTCCTTCAAGTTTGGTGATGGAATGGCAAGATTCCTTTTTAATGAAACAATATTTGTTCAGGCCTTTTATTTTCAACAATGCAGTCAGCTCTAGCAGTCCCTTCAACTACAAAACTGATTTGCCATTATCACAGAACCCTCTCTTCCACCATCTGGACTTATTTGTTTATGTGGGTATATAACATCCCTGTTACTCACTGGCACATGTTCCCATAAAGGAGAATTGATGGGAATATTTTTAACAGCTGAAATTTAATCCAAACGTTTCAAGAAGACTTTGATATATTTTTAGGCCAGAAGGTGGAAGAAAATCTCTCATTTGCTTTAGCTAGGTATTTAGGACACAACTGAGATGTAGGAAGGAAATCTGGGACAATCGGGAAGAGGACAAGAGAGTGGATTGCTGGAAAGCTCATTCTAAATCAGTTCTTGCAGAGTCAGAGTGCGGAGTCAGAATGGGATATACCCAGACCTCACATCTCTGAATCAAGACTAGATATTCTGATCCAGTTTGTGTTTTCACAAAAATGTACAAAACAGTACATCTTCATTCCAAAGTGAAATGAAAATAAAATTTGAAGCTCTTGAAACTTTATTTTTTTTTTCTCTTAAATTGAATTGCTGTCTTCTGGTCAATTCTGCTATGGAGTGTTTGGTTTGGGGCAGCTCCATGTGGGCAAGTGGTAAAAGCCTCAGATGATTATCAACGGGAAAACACTACGATTTTTCACTTGCTTTACAAAAATCAAGAGAGAGATGGAAAAAATTAGGGTAGATGTTTAAACTGACAGATTTGGAAACATTTATTCCATAGTATTTATTTTTGTATATTTGTTTAAAAGATTGTGTAAGATCTGATGGAACTTGCCGCTTCATCCTTCTCTTGCTCCTTCCTCTCCATGAAGCAGGAAAAAAGTCTAAACAAAAACCCACCAAAACCAGAACCAAAACAAAACATTCTTCCTGCCAACCTCCTTTGGGAGTGGCTATCCACAAACTTTCACACAGAAACATCAGGAAGTGCTTGAGAGATCGTCAATGAGTCTCAAAACACACAGTAGCATGCCAGCCTGTTTGAAGCAGGGGCAGAATGATTCATGTGGTGTTACCAAATATGAAGATGTAAGGTCTAGTCATTAAATCAGCATCTTCAAGAAGGCCTTCTTCCAAAGGTATGGGCTAAAGGACAAGCTGCCATAACCTCAAGTTGCTGTCTCTCTGGGAATTCATCTTTAACTGTCACCTCTCCATTTTCAAAAAGTAAAAACATGGGTACCCACAACCTCCTCATCCCTTCTTCAAATTTAGTAGTGATCTTTGTGGCAGCTACGACACTGTCACAATGTTCACCTTGATGTTTGCTCCCTTTCTACAATACCCTTTCACCTCATTTGACATTTTGTTCTAGTTTTGGCAATAATATTATTCTGAAACTTAAATTTTTTTGAGGGAAGAAGCAGAAGTAAGAAGTCACTACTCATATAGTGAGAAACAGAAATACTATTCTGGTAGCAATTTTTTGTTTAATTACTAATGAGATTTTTCCTCCAAAATTAAGAAACCACCTTTTCAATGTAAGAGTGTCTGGGTATTAATTTGCATCAGATCAACCTGAAAGATGATGGTACAGGAGTGACACTGCTCAAACACAGTCTTCCCAAGAGAGTGGAGCTGGGTCATTTTTCTACACACTTGACTATGCACTGAAGAAGGGATGTTTGCGTGACAGATTCAAAGACTTTTCTATAACAGGGTCTATCAAATACACCTTCCCCAACTGCATTTTTAAGTGCATCAATCAAAAGGATGTAAAAAAAACCACGTTGTTTTTCCTTCCTCTTTAGGACACTATTTAACTTTTTCATATTGCAGAAAATAAAGTTTCACCTGGAAACAAATTATTGATCATCTCTTTGCCATATATCAAAAAGTTGTTTTTCTTCTTACCATAAATCCCATGCAACAATTTCAGCTTCTTTTCAGCAGTTATGGGGTTAAATAACTGCTTTTTCCTTACAGTATTGAATCTTACTTTTTTTTCTTACAGCAAGTTTTACCAGTTTCTAAAAAATTAATTGTAGGAAGTGCTGATTGAGACTTCAAAGTAGAGAGTGATATTCTGCATGTTAAATATCCTACAGGTATTTCCCACATAGGCTCACAAGCAGTCCAAGATTTCCTGTTAGCCACAAATTGTATGATCAGCAGAGGAACTCTGCTAGCATCGCAGATGCAGGTTCATCCAAATTTCTGTTTATAGGAGGATGAAAGCCAACAGGGGCTTCTGAGGCTCCCATCCTCACGCAGTCCAACAGGATCTCTGGGGACGCGTTGCCATATCCTGCCCATTAACTACTCCCCATGTTTCTCTTCTCCTTGGTTTGTGGGGCTCTTGGCCAGAAATTCGGTGTGTGACTCACACCAGGAAGGATGAACATCTTAGAGTACTCATATCATCCGGGCTGAAATTTTTCTGCTCTTTGCCACATCCCGCTTCTGTTCTTTGTTTCTCCAAACTGCTGTATCACATCCAAAACAAGGCTTTCAGGCTCTGAGACACAAACTAGCATGTGTAGAAAAAGTGAAAAATGTCTCTCCGAAACAAAGTACTGATGAAGAGCAGAATACTTTTACACAAGATGGTAAGCTATGCTAACAGAGCTTTAAATGTCTGGATATAAACACTTAAATTACAGAATTATTAATGAACTTTTAAGGCTGATATCCTAAATATTTTTATGGATTTGGATGGTTAAGTACAATAAGAAATCAGTTTTACATTTTGTCTTTTTTCCCCTAGGCAATCCTTTAGCAGTGCTATTAATATTTGTACTATTAATATTTTTCTGCCTGAGCACGGCTCTTGTTTAATGACAAAACACAAATCAGCAGTTCACTGGATTACAGGGTGTAGCAGGACCACCCTGCAGCATTTCAAGGGAGGAAGTGAAGAGAGGAGTGATACTGCTGCTCTGCTAAGACTGTATGTTCCTTCAATTGCTTTACAGCATATGAAACTCTTTCTTACCTTGGTTTTCTTAGATAAATTAAAAGCTGACAGATAAACTCAGTTCTTGCAGTGTACAAATGAATAATTAACATTCTAAGGTGACTCTTACGCATGTGTTTTAAGAACAGAGTTATAATTTTATTCATTTGTTCTGGTTCAAACAATAAAAATGGCTATTAAATGGGGGAAGGTATGCCTTTAATCTTTGGGACATAGAAAATAATGATTAGTGATAAATCAGCCATACACAAGTAATAAGCTACCCCAGCCAATAAAAAAAGTAGCAAAAAAGAAAATCTTTGCAATTTTTTGGTACATAATGTCCTGTTGACTGACCCTGTGTAAATGCTCACAGCACTCATTTCAGCGTTTCATCAGCGTGCTCTCAGTGTACCTCCCCTTAAGTGCACTGGTCTTTGGATCAGCATTTCGACATGAGAGGGAGCATTTGTGTGTTGCAGAAGCACATTCTGATGGTCAGTTAGGAGGCAGCCCTCTGCCTTCTGCACTAAGCAAGTAGTTCACAAAAATACTGTTAGGAGCATCAAACATGGCTTGAGGGAGCCAGTACGACTGATTCATCCCTATCCACAATGTGTTGTCAGAAATGCTGCAAATCACATATTTTCAATAATTCTTTTTTTCTTTTTGTCTACTTCAGTAAATAATTCAGCGCAACAGACACATGTCAATAGATCTGCAGATCAGCACCAGTTTCTGAGACCTCTGCATTTACAGTATCTCCAGTTTAGAGAGGTTTACTCTGGACAATCTTTAACTCTGGACTCCTGGTCCAATACCCCCACCGTGATTGTGGTTCAAAACTGTCCAAAAGACCAGTGGCTGACTTGGACACTCTGTCTCCAAAAGCAGCTGAAACAGGTTTATGTGCAACTAGCTCGAGCTCCAGGTTTAGTTTCCTCTAAAAGGAGCCTGGTTCGTGCACACTGAAACAGGTCTGCAAACTGGCCAGTGACAATAACTAGAACCAGCCACAAATGGTCAAAGCCAAGCTTACCACATATCACCACAGCACTAATAGAGAAGTAGCTGTCAAATATCAAAAAAAGTTGAAGGACACTAGAATTACCAATTGCTCAGAAACTGATCTGGATATTTATTACTCACTGGAAGTAATGTACTCCGGAGCCTTCCCAGGACTAAGTGGCACTGCCTCTTCATAATAGCCTTCAGGAAGGGAAGATGTTGGTAATGGTGGAGGCCCATTATCTGGTGGCTAAATGAAGGGGGGAAAAAAAAAAAAAAAAAAAGAACATTGATTAGAGACAAAAAAGGTGTTCAATTGAACATGCCCTGAACATCTGCTCATGATCAGTGCTAAAGTTACCTGCCTTATAAACCCAATGGCTACTCTTGTGACTATTTCGTACATTAGCTATCTCTAAAGGCAAGGCACTGGAGGGGTGAATTAGATGTTATCCATTGAATAAGGTGTGTTCTGCAGGGTAGCATCTTTTAGAATCTAAATCTCAAGTTCCTCATATGTTGTTAAACAATAATAAGTAGAGGTTGAGATGTGAAGCAATAAAGTGACTTTTATTATGCTTCATAACATAATGATACATTTTTAAATCATTACTATCAAGACTTTTACCTCCACTCATGATAAGGAAGCAGAGCCTTCTTGCATGTTCTCTGAGTCCTCTGGGGATATAAACACAGTAGGATCCTACTTGCCATTGTTAAGGATGACAAAATCAAGATAACAGCTACATTAAAAGAAGTTCTTTCTACAACACCATTAAGTGTTAAAAATGTTGTAAAGATATAGTTCTCTGTTTAAGAACTAGAAATCTAAAAGGTCTGCTTAGGAAAGAGATTTCAGTGCATGGACCATTTTACAGTGTTAAGGTTTATTTGTCAGTATTTTACACCTAAAATAATTCATATTACAGCAGAAAACAACAGTTGGCTGGACAGTTTAGAAAAATTAAATAGCCTGGGCTGGCAGAGATCAAGGACAGATAATTTAGACCATGTTTTCATGATGTATTTTGTTTTTCAATGGTAATTCAATTCTTAATATAGACATCAATTTTTAAAATGCTATTTCTACATAGTGAAAACTGAGCTACAACCAATGAAAAGTTTGGAACATCAAGAAACTATTATATGATAAAATAAATATTTCAAATACCAGGTCAAATTCTAAAACGCTTCTTTTCTAAATATAAACCTGTTTTAAATTTAAAACTGACGGACTGCTGGTATGTTGATATAGTAACAAAGTAAACTTAGTTCTTTCTGACTTCTTCCATATGACTTTACTGTTCTATTTCCTTAACAAGTACCAAAACAACTGTACTTTATAGAACTCATTCATATTTGCTACAGGTTTTTAGTTCCATATTTTCATATTAGAGAAAACACTGAAGCCTTTTTCCAAAACACGTGGTTTATTGTGTGATTACAAAAATACAACTTGTAAGCAGAGTCTCATTTTTGCAGTAACATTTTTTTCAATACATCTTTATCTTTTGTTTGTCTGCACTGGATTGATCCAGTCTAAACTCGGGGAACGAGCAGAGATACCAAAGTAAGAAACTAGTCAGGGTGGGCTTTGGTCATGGTCAGGCAAAGACACTTCTGGAGTGCAATTCAATGGGCTGAACAATCTAGTAGGGGCATAGAGCCTTCTTCCATGTAATATAGATGAAGCCACAATGACTAGACTCCTCTTTTACTATAGATCTAAAGCTACCCAGGAGGAATCTTAGTTTCAATAACTTGTGGCATTAGCTGTAATGAAATGACTTCTGTGAGCACTTTCAGGGCTGGATTCATCTTTCCAGAGTTCAGAGCTAGACATGAGTGTTCCTCACAGACCAGTTTTGCTAGAGAAATTATCTGTCAAAGAAGCAAAATAATGAAAAAATACAACTTTTGGCATAGTTTCTCTGTGATTCTGCTGAAAAAAAACCCCCAAATTGCAAATCTGCACATACGCACAAAATAAACGAGACTTTCCAGGTTAGATGTGCTGCACAATGGGCGTAAGGGACATTAAAAAATACTACATGTTCATTAATATTGGAAAATTGACAGCACATGATGAATTTTGCCCTACACACCGGCACACCTCAGCTCTGTGTGGCCTGAACTGCCGGATACAATAGGTGGAACTGCCTCCAAAGAATTTGTATTTTGTCCCTATACGCAGGTGAGAGCCTTGCTCAAGTGACTTGGGGTCAAGGTTTGTTCCTGGGGCAGTGTAGATTCATACCACCCCTTTCATAAGACAGATATATTAATATCTTGGTCTAGCTTTAAAGTATTTCCCCCATCAGGTGTATATATGATATATGAAATTCCTATCATTATTAAACCTAATTCACCCAAGAAATACCCATCCTGAGACTCATTCCAATTTTGACTTGACACAGCACCAAGGTTTCAAAGCTATCTTTTATCCAGAAACAAATAAGAGTTCCAATAAAGATCGGGGGGGAAAAAAATCCTTGTTTTTAGACAAAATGTTATTCAGAAAGAAAGAAAAAAAGGAAATGAAACACAAATGGTGCTTGTCTGAAGTCGACCCTGCTGGAGCACCGCTTACTTCATACAGCTGGGGCGGGCTGGGCTGTGCAGCCAACGTCAACACAGATGGAATCCATTGCTGAATTAACCAGGTCCTCCTTTCTGAAATGCATTTTGCAGTGCTTGCCATAACAAAGTTGAAAACAATTATAAAAAAGATTAAATAAAAAAATTATTAGGAGGACCAGAAACATCCAGCATTAAATACTTTCTGACTAAAGCAAGGCTGCTTTAATATTGAAAGAAAATCCAACTGACTAAATACAAAATAAAAATACCTCGCTCAAATATGTGCTATAAACAGCTACATCTTTTGGGAGCTATGGAACACATAAGAGTTTGAGCATCAAGAAAAGTAAAAAGTACATCTGAGCATTCTGATATTACTTACTGATATTTACAGTGCTTTACTCTTTTTACTATTGCTAATTCTTTCAATTTGGCAATTTTTCAGTGGAAAAATCTTTATGAAATTATGAATTATGAACTGAAACAATTCTTGATTCAGTAACTTCTCAGTAGTTTACCTGAAAAATAAACCCCACAAAACTATTTTTATATTCTATAAAAGGATTAAATATTAAAAAAACAAAAAAATAAAAAAAAAAAAACCAAAAAACAAACCTAGAACATGTGAAGTTTGAGTGGTGTCAGGAGTAAAGACCTGGCAACCTGAAAAGAAGTCATTAGCAAGAATTTCTACTTTTATTTTTTTTAACAACAGGCCACAGGGAAGAAAACTAGGGAATGCTGCCTTTCAAGACAAATGACCTTGCTCAATCACAGGAATAAGAACTGATTTAGAAAGAAAATTACCATTATTTTTATCTCTGTGGAGGAAAAGGGACAAAGATGAGTGAGATATTGTTGCCCAGAATAATATCAGTAATACTGAAACAATACTGTTATAGGTGTTTGTCAGGTGCTGGGTCTGAGACCAAATGAGAGTTGCTTTACTTGAAACCAAGAAGCTGGCAGGGTGATAATTATGTTACAGAACTGAGATCTCTGAAGACACTGAAGATGGGATTGTTTGCAGGATGCTCTGCTACAGCTTCCAGGAGGGATTGTTGAGAGAAAGAAACAAATAAATATCTCCAAATAATAAGGAATATTTACCTGGATAGTAGAATTCATTATTATACTAGAGACTATGAAACCGACTTCATAGAAATATTAATTTTATGGCGTATCATGGTCTTCCCCTCCACCCGCCCTCTGTGTTCCACAGACCACAAATAAACTCCTTCTTTATTCTAAGAGATAAAATACTTTATTTCTCCCTTCTGTCCAAAGGTACCTACAAGATAGGCAGTAACTTTTTTTTTAGGGATAGTCTAGCTGATATCTGCTGGCGATACGAAAGTATGTAGTGTGGAAAGCAGTATGAAAGACAGAGAAAAATAAATGTCATCGTATAGGGGCTTGAGGATATCAAATCACTTTACACCCCAATGAAGACTTACACTCTGTAGGAAATAGAAAGAAACACCTCCCTTTGTGTAATAATTTAGGATGTGGAGATTTCCAGTGCAAAGCAGTGACTTTAACAGAGGCAGAGACTGTCAGTACACCTGTGCTGCTGGCAAAGGCTGCCAGCAATTCAAGGGCCACACTCGCACATGTGTTATTAGATCAACCACCAATTCGGATCCAACCGGACTGTGGAGCCAGCTGCTACGTAACCCCTCAACACTGAAAAGCAGCAATATGAGACTGGAAAAGTGGTCACACACTGGTGATGCATAATAAAGCTATTCAGAAGCCAGCAGGCAAATGTGGGCTGTCAAGAAGGAACCTGGACACATGCACGTGCCATTTGGTGTGGTGCAAGCTTAGACCTGACCTCCATACAACCCCAGTGCATCCTTAGCCTGGGAGAGGGAACACATTTATGATCCCTTTCCCCACATGTAAAAACAGTTGATGTCCAGAAAGCTAAATAATCAACAAAGTGCATATCAATACAACTGCCAAAATTACTGACAGCACATTTCAAGCAGGCTTCTTTGTACCACTGTGAAGGCTGGAAATTGGGCACCAGTACTTGCCACACGCTTGGTATGAAAGGCTTTAGATAAACTGAAAATCACTAAGGCAATAACAAGAAATCACTGTTTATTGCCAGCAGTTGAGGACCTGGATGGACCTTGGATTTATTCAGGACAAAAGTGCTGACTATATGGGAAGTTGGAACCATACTGAGCTGTGCAGGAGTGAAATATTAGCCTGAGCGTAGACAAGCAGAAGCTGAGAAGAATTCTTCATTTGACCTCAGCTCTGTATCCCAAAGTTATAAATTTTGCAGCTTGTCAGCTGGACCCTGCAAAACCAGGAGCCAAATAATATGAAAGAAGTCTAACAACTTCTCTTTTCACCTTCTGAGCACATCTGACAAAAGACAGCAAACCAGACAGCCAGACATCAAACTCAGCTTTTTGGAACAGAGTAATCCTGCCAGTCCCACCACAAGGTGGGTAACATGGCTGCATAGTGGGCTGTTGGTACAACCACCGCTCTGGGACACTGGTGCTACCAGGAGAAAACCAAAAGGACTTGCCTAAGAAATCAACAGCTGGAGACAGACATGATGGGAGGCCCAACGGCCCCCAGCAATCCTACAAAGAGCTGATCTGGTAACCCGCTGGCTCCTACCGTACTGCTGAACAGATGAGGGCA